TCTGCAGCTTTACTGCATATCACTGCCTGGATTGCGACTCCTACCAGGAAGTGAGAGAAAGCACCACCTCTCTTACTAGCTTACATGCAAGATTTGATGAAGGCACTATAAACAGGCAGGTGTTCATCCATCTGCATACCAAGTAAGCCGAGTTTTAAATGAGTCGGTGGTAGATGATTTAAATTAGTGGAAGCATCCAAAATTTTAGGGTAGTGGCTTTCAACTGGAGATGAGTCTACTCCCCAACTCTCACCCTCAGGGAATTTGGTGGTATCTGAAGACATTTTTGGAAGTCATAAAAAGTGCTCTGGCGGGGCTGGAGTTATAGCTCAGCAGTACAGCACTTGCCTCGCACATGTGAGGCACCAGGTTCGATCCTCAGCACCACATAAATAAAGACTTTATACACACACACACACACACACACACGCATGCACATACATATATATAAAGTGCTACTGGCATCTAGCACAAGGAGGCCAGGTACACTGTATAATTTCTACAATATGTTGCCAGCCCTCACAACAACGAATCAGCAAAGCTGGGCTTAGTGGTGCTTGCCTATAATCCCAGGAACTGAGGAGGCTGAGGTAGGAGGATCTCTTGCTGGAGACAAGACTGGGCAAGTACGTGATATCTTGTCTCAGGAAAAAAAAAGGGGGGCAGGTGAGGGTCCTGGGGGATGTAGAGCACCCCTGAATTCAATCCCCAGGGCCACTACCAAAAATAAAGAATTAACAAGCCCTGAATAGCAGCAGTAGCACTGTTAAGAGGTTCACCAAGAGGCTGAGCTTCACCAAGGCATCAGCTACCAGTCTCTAATGAATTACATCTGCCTCACAGCAGCACCTACCCCTCCCCTTACCTATGGTCACACCCTGCTATTGCTGCCAAACCTTCTGCTGTTGTATGCTTCCCCAATCCTGTTTTGCGTGGCTAATTTGTAGTCCCAAAACTTCATGAGTCTCAAAAACTTCCAAGTTGCAGCTTACTTCCCCCCCAAAACTCCCAACACTATGGAGCTTATAATAAGATTACCCTTAGGCACACTCCTGCAATTACCGGCCTGGGCTGTGACTATCACCTAGTCTGAGGTGTTCACTGAGTTTGAACTACATGAAAGTTATGAGACATGTTTCAGGATCCACCAAATCTCTAGCCCCTTCCTCACCAAGAAAGCAGAAGGCTCATTAAATTGTTGTATATGAAAGTAAGCATGCATTCAAGTGTCCAAACTGTGCCAAAATCTGTACTTAACACTAAATCATCACATTTAATTCTAAAAGGCTTCAGAAGTTGGCATCATCCCCACTTTGTGGATAAGAAAGCCAGGTCTGAGCCCGCCCACAAGATCCCAAAGCAAATGAGGAGAGTTGGATTCAAAGCCTGGGGCAGTACTTTTCAGGACGTGGCTGGCCCTCCCACACTAACTCTACAGCTAAGTCTGAATCCAGGAAGGGTTGGAAGAGACTGGAAAAGCTTTAAAACTTTACTAAAGAAAAGATGGAATTTTCCTGATGATGCAATCTGGTTTCGGATCACTAACAGACCTGCATATTAAGAATTTAAAACTTCAAAAAAAAAAAAAAAAAAGAAAGAAAGAAAAAACCCTAAAATTTCTACTCCTCAATCCAGGAGTGTGCATTTGTTTGGGGGTTAAGTATCTCAAAGTCACAAAATGCCTTGGATCTCCTCATTAAGCAGTCAATTACTGATGGGCCTCCTGAAAACAACCCTAATGGTCTATGACTATGTAGAAAATTAATATCTCATTAAGAGACCAAGTAGTCTTTGTATGAGCTCTTTTAGCACTGAGAGCTCTTCCCAGAAATCAGAGCCCCAACCTGCCTTCTATAACAAGCCCCCAGGGAGGACCTAACCCTGGAAATCCCATCTTAAAAGGCATCCATCTGGAAACATCACCCAGACCTGAGATGCTCAGAAGTCCAAAAGACAAGAAAACATCTGACAGCTAAGTGGTTCTCTAGGATCCAAAGTACTGCTTATGTTACCAATGCCTTCCCAGATTTTCCCATCAGGAGGTGCTGGGCATCTCAAGACTCTGCTGCCATCCTCAATAATCAAAGGAGGCTCAGCTGTTCAACTGAAATGACAGATGACCTGCTCTTTTGATATTAAGAGGGCTCCTGGGACCCTGCTTCTCCCCATAACTGTGGCCTATGGCGTCAACTGCACTTCAAAGGTTAAGCTGCTCACAACAAAATCCTAGTTTGTCCTGATCCTGTACCTGGTGGTAGTCAAGCTATACACTAGAACTCCTAAGAGGTTTTGAAGATTACTGAAGTACATTACTAGATTTACCTTTTCCAGGATTGGAAGGAGGTAGCTTTTCACTTCACATAGACAATAGAAGTGTTCTGGTAGACAATTTTCCCTGGGGCCAGGAAACCAAGTCAATTTTCAGTTTGTGAAATCTACTGCTCACAAACTATAAATACCTGGTCAAGAGCCCAGGTGTACTTTATAAGGTCCCAGTAACTGGCAGCACGTTCTTAACAAAGGACCAATGGGCTTATCCATAACTAAGAGGAAAGAATTGAGTGTGGTGTATTTTATTTCTGGCCCAACCATTGAATTATTAGACTCCAGGGAAGTCATTCCCCCTCTAGGGAATGGAGAAACTCTGTCAATTAAATACTCTCAGGGGCCCTCTGCCTGTATTTTTCTGTTAAGGAATCCACTAATTTTTTTTTTTCCTTTAAGAAAACCAAGAACAACAACAGAGCAGGAATGACTTTGATAGTTCAACTTTTTTTTTTTTTTAAACACTGCTTTGGAAATGGAGATATGCTTAAAATCTCATAAGGAAAACAGACTCCTAATATCTTAGCCTTCTGGAAAGACATTCTGGACTAATTCTCAGTTAAGCCCGTGGTTACGAGAAAGCTAGCTACAGGTGCAGAATTCGACATTGGTTCCTGAGCCCTGTTTGCTCGCTACACAAACCCCTTCCCCTACTCCCTACAACCTGAAGGATGGGTGAGAACCGTTTAAAGGACGGGCTCCTATTGGCCGCTGCTTTCTGAACCCGGGTGGGTAGTTAAGGCAGCGGGTGCAAGGCCGCCCCCTCCTCCCAGGTGGGTTACCTGAGCACAGTCACGCTCCCCCTGCGCACTGGCAGGGAAAGCACAGGTTCTGACACCCGGATAGGCTTGAACTGGAACTTGCAGCCGAAGCACAGCGCGGAGTCGCTAAAGAAGGACACGGATACGATGGGGCGCTCAAAGATGTGGATAGGGTCCACGTGAGACACGATACAGCCGCCGGGCTGGTAGTCGTTGATGACGGCGCTGTTGACGAAGCCCTCGGGGATGACGCGGTGCTCCACCAGCTTCTGTATCACCAGCTGGTGCACCCACTCGGGGATCTCGTCCACGTCGCCCGGCGGATAGAGGCGCTCCTGACCCGGCCCACGCTTCTGCAGCTGGGCGCCGTACGTGTATCCCTCGCCGAAGAAGTACTTGTTGCGCAGCGGGGCCCGGTCCACCGTGTGCTCGTTGTACAGGCCCTTCTCGGCGCGGGACACCACCTCATCGATGCGGGCCTCAATCTTGGCGCACTCATCCTGGCTGAAGAGGCGCATCTGGCGGATGCCGCTCTTCACCTTGCGCGCCTCCTCCTCCTTCTGCAGCTGCTGCTCCTCGTAGTCGCTGCGCTCCGGGTCAGAATCCTCTTGATATTTGCGCTTGGTCCCGGACATTGGGTAAGGCTCTGCGGCGGCGGCCGCGGCGGCCGCGGCGGCTACAGCGGCGGCGGCTGCGGCCGCGGCTTCCCGGCTGCCCGCCTTATAGTTGTCCCGGGACGTCATGGACTTGAGCTTCTCACGCAGGTCTGTGTAGCCGCTGGCGGCCGCCATGGCCCCCGCGACGCTACTCTAGGGTCCTCCGGGGCGGGCGGGGCGGCCAGGCATGGCTCTTGGGGGACGCGCCCCGGTGCCCCCGGAAGGAACAGGGTCCTCAGTGCCGGACCCCCATGCGTTGCCTCAGGACCCAGCGGGGGGCGTCTAGGGGCCAGGAGCGGGGTCGGAACTCAGTAGCGGCAGGTCATGCAGCGGTGGCGACAACGGGGCTTCCTCCTCCTCCTCCACGTCCCGGGGGGCAGGGGCGCCAGAAGCGCCTCATGCCGTGGAGGGCTGCCGCGTAGGCTCGGCCCGACTCCCAGCCAGACCCTCAGACGCCCGGCCCGGCCCGCACTTTAAAGCTCTCCTCACGACGTCACGGGCCGCCCGCCCGACGTCCGCCAGCGCCGCTCCTTAGCGGGCTTCTCGGCGCGCACGCGCAGTATTGCCGGCCACCGCGGCTCCTCGCGCTAGGGGCATGCGCGTGCGTGCAGGCCCGGTCGGCGGAGGTGCTGGCGCAAGCGCACACAGGGGCCGCTCGTCGTCCGCCGCCCCTCCCCCACTCTCTGAAGGGCTTCGAGAGAGCACTCTCAAACAGCGACCTTCCTTCACGCCGCGCCGCCTCCCAGACCCACGGGCTCCCTCAGCCGGGGTGCGCTCACGCTGTCAACACTGTTGCTATGCCGCGTCATGGCATTGTCCGAATGTCCGTAAAGGCCTCAATCCCCAGCGCGCAATCACCGGAGAACCGCCACAACCTACACCGCCCCGTTACCGCCCCCTTTGGCGCTTCCACTTTTTTAATTGGGCCGCCGGCCAGCGCCGGGCGGGCCCAGACTGGAGTTTTCACTAGTCGGTTGGTAATCATGCCTGTCAATCAGGGAGTCTCCTTGGCTACTGCGTCCATCTCTTAATTAGCTGCGAGGAGGGCGGCGAGGACCCCTAAAGGGGCGAATGGATGGCTAAATAAGTGCCTGAATGGAGACCTCACCGGAGCAAAGCTCTCAGGACCCCTAAGGAACTTCTGAAACAGACGGCCGCTTCCCAAACTGCAGGACCGAGAACCTTGGGCTCCAGCTCTGAACCCAGATGGCCACGGCCGCAGAAGCTAGACGCGCATTGTCGAGGGCACCTCCCCCACCGCGGCCGCCGCTGCCCGGAGTGGACGTTCCCCGAGTCACGTCCCGGTGGTGGCGAGTGCATGCGCGGCTGGGACGCGCCCGGGTGGCGTCGCTCCTCTTTGGCACTGGCGATGCGAGGGGAGGTAGCGGGGAGAGGAAACCCTCTTCCGCTGAGGGGGGGAAACATCTAAGTGGACCAGTAGGCGAACTGAGGCTGAACTGTGGACGTTTACTAGACACAATTCGAAAGTTTGGAAGCCGAGGGCACGGTCTGTCCAGGCGAAGGCGTGGCTCTGCGATGATGGGCTGGGCGGCTCCAACAAATAGGGATTTCTGCTCGAAAACCTGCTGTGGCTCCCCAGGATAAGGTTCATTCAGCCTCTTTGCTTGGCACTTCCGGCCTGGTCTCCGCTGCCCTCTTTCCACACACTGGGCCACAGCCCTGCCCTTTCCCGGCCAGGTCTACAAACATAACCCCGTCCCTCCTCCTGGTCTTTGCCCAGTCTGTTTAGGCCACCTGGAATGTCAGTTCCCTCCACCCGTGTCCTTCGTTTTGATTAAGGGAAACTCTGTCTACCAGCCTTCTCTGATTCTGGTCTGCAAAATGAAGGTAGACACAATTCATTTTACCTCGCGAGGGTGAAATGAATCCATGTAATGAATCCAAGAAGCAGAGGGGAATTGCTGATTTTGAGGCAAGGCCTCAAAAGTTTTCCCATCTATAAACTGAGGGACCCATCAGCCTTGTTGGAAAATGGGGATGCTTGTGTAGTTACTTGGCAAGGTCAGGCCAGGCCAGCAGGGCCTGTAGAAGGGGAAGCTGGGACCCTAGCCACCCTCCCTTCCAAGTAGCAGCAGCAGCCCAGGTGAAAGGGGAAATGGGGGTGGGTGGGTGTGGCTGGGACTCAAGTGCTAGCACGTGTGAGGCACTGGGTTCGATCCTCAGCACCACATTAAAAAAAAATACAAGTATTGTGTCCACCTAAAACTAAAATAAACAAATAAATATTAAAGAAAAAAAGGGGAAATGGGGCAGACAGGAATCCTAGGGTAAGTCTGGCTCCTGCCTGTTTTGGTGCAGCCTAGTGGGTGCAGGTAGTGATGGTGTTGGTAGGAAGACAGCTGTAGGTCTTGAGAAAGTGGCCAAGGGCAAGGCCAGGTGGCCTGGACTCAGGACCCCCTCCTGCCTGAACCATTCGATGTGAACACCTGGGCAAAGCCCTCACCTACATGATGGGCAGTTGGGCTGGGAGGGTTGAGGTCCTTCAGAAGCCCACTGCCCTTGAATGTCTAAACTGCCTTTCACACCTGCTTGATGGGGAGCTTACCACCAGCCATTCCCAGAAAGCCTTCCTAGAGATTTCCCTCAGGGATCCCAGCCCTACCAAATGAGAATGGCCTCTTCTCTAGATTGAGACATTTCCTCCCATCCCAGAAGTTGCATCCAAAGTTGCCATTTGTTTCTTTTTCACTGTGCTCTTGAGCCAGGCCCCTCCCTTCTCTGAGCCTCGGTCAGGAACAGCATGGATTCTGGAGCTAGGATGGCTTGGGTTTGAACCTTCCCTGAGACACATACTGGCTTTGTGACCTTTCACCCCTCTGCATGAGTTTCCTCTTGTACATCAGTGGTCATGATGATGTCTGTCACACTGGAGTATTTTCAGGGTGAAATATGATAGCATACATACAGGACCTGGCACATAGTTTTAAAAGCTGCTTTTATTAAGTTTTTACTATGTCCACCCCTAGAGGGGCAGTTGCAGAACTGCAGAGCTGAATTTGCCACTGTCATGGGATATTCATGAGAAAAGCTTGCTTACAAGGACATAGGAAGACTTAGGAAAATAAACTTTACATGAATAATTAAAAAAAAAAAAAAGGAAAGAAAACTATGTCCACTCCAGACATCCCTTTGCATCCTGTTCTGGGCACAATAATGACCACTTAGAGCTGGGCATGATGGCACATGCCTGTAATTCCAGCAGCTCAGCAGGCTGAGGCAGGAGGATCATTGAGTTCAAAGCTAGCCTCAGCAACTCGGTGAAACCCTGTCTCAAAATATAAGAAAGGGCTAAGGATGTGGCTCAGTGGTTGAGTCCCCTGGGTTCAATCCAGTACCAAAAAATAATGATGACTACTTAGGAAGTACTTACCCTCAAGCCATTTGCTGGCACTTACAGTTTATAAAGAAGAAAGCAGAGTCTTGGGCCAGGAATCCTGGGTTCTGGTCTCCTGTGCTGTGGATTTCCTCACATCAATCTGGAATTCCTATCTCTGTGTGTCTTGGCCCAGATATGGAACCCAGTGGATGGGAGCACTTGGGGTTTGACTCTCCTATCACCCAGGGTTCTTCTGGTACTCTGCCTTATGGGGATTGTGACCTTCTTGTGGGAGGGCTCGACTTTGCTGACGCCACTACAGATTCAGTAGAACAGCTATTGCCACATGGAGCTTGTGCCTCAATGCACAGGGTCCTAAAATCCAAAACCCTGAGTCTAATTATCCAGTGCTATGTAACAAACACCCCCGAATTTGCACCTCAATCATTTATTTAGCTCACAAAATTAAAGTCTGGACTTAGCCACTTAGCTCAAAAAAATAAAAAGGGCTGGGGATACAGCTCAGTGGGAGAGCTCCAATCCTCAGATTAGCAAAACAAAAAGGTGTACTCTGACCAGAGTTTAGCCAGGAGGATTTCCTCTCAGTTTCCACTCTCCTACTTCTGAGTAGCCTCTGTTGCACTTATGTTCATAAACATAAAAGTTTGCTTCTGTTTTTGTTTTTTGCCACTTCATTCCTCCCAGAGCCTCATATTTTAGCTTGACTGGAGAAAGGTTTGAGGGCAAAAGTTATTAGTGATCCTACAACATTTTGAGAAATGGGGGAGTAGAGGGGCTGCTTCGCACTGGATCCCAGTATGTTCTGTTGTGGGGTCACCATACTGAGCAAACTCCAGGGCTGAGCACAAAACCCAGAGGACAACCAGGTAAACCATTTGAAGGCCTAAGCCCTACAACAGGGGTTAACTTGATTAATAGCATATTTTCTGGCCTCTTCCCTGTTTCCTTCATCTCAGCATCTGCTGCCCGTGGAACACCAACCCCAGGCAGTGGTGCAAAGTGGAACAGTCCTGGGCATCTGTGTCAAGGGCTATTGTCTGATCCTCTGCATGCTGAGATGGTCCAATTGGTCCCTCAGCCCTGCCAGCTGGACCTCCTCTGTTGCTCCCAAGTTATCACCTTCTTCCCATCCCTGCCACTTCTACCAGGATCCATGCCACAGAGCTTCCCAGACTCCCTTGCACCTGTAGCAGCCTCTTTCTCTGGTCTCCTTGCCTCCTCCAGTCATTCCCTTCCTAGAACTTTTTTTTTTTTTTTACTTTTACTTTACTGGAAATTGAATCCTGGGGTGTTCCACCACAGAGCTACACTCCCAGTCCTTATTTTTAAAATTTGAGATGGGATCTCACTAAGTTGCCCAGGCTGATCTCGAATTTGCAATCCTCCTTCCTGAACCTCCAGAGTCAGAATTACATGTGTGCACCACCACACCTGGCTGGAAAATCTTTTTCAAAATACCATCTGGGCACCCCATTCTCTACTGGAAAACCTTCCAGGGCTCCTTATGGGTCTTGGGATGAAATCCTAAATTCATAATACAGCCTGAAGGACTGTACCCAATCTACCCTGCCAGCTTCTTCAGTCTCAGGGTTTGGCACTAATAATGTCCATCATAGTGCCCCTGCATGAGCCAGTCCCTTCCCTCATCACCTGGCTAGCACCTACTCATAGGTCTTGTCCTGATTGTAGTTATTTCTTTTTTTTTTTTTTTAAAGAGAGTGAGAGAGGAGAGAGAGAGAGGAGAGAGAGAATTTTTAATATTTATTTTTTAGTTCTCGGCGGACACAACATCTTTGTTGGTATGTGGTGCTGAGGATCGAACCCGGAGACATTTCTAATGCCTGGCATATGCCTGGTACACAGTAGGTACTTAATAATTAGTGAATGGCTGAATGAGCAAATTTATCCTTTCTCTGATGCCATCCATGACTCCTAGAACTATGTCCCTACCTAACTATCCTCCTCCCATTCCCGAGCCTACTTCTCCCCTTTCTGAGGTTCCCAAAGCACCAGTACTTTCTGTCCACATTCATTCATTTTTTTCAGGGGTGTGGTAAGAGCAGATATCTCTACTAGAAGTGCTGCCCAAAGGCAATAAGCCAGAGGTAACTCATAGCTCAAGTGATCCTCCTGCCTCAGCCTTCTGGGCAGCTAGGACTATAGGCATGTACCGCCATCCAGCTACAAGTAATTTTTAAGTGCCTATTCTTTATTATAGGTTCCAGGGGATGGATATAGCAGGGAACAAATACAGTTTTCTCTGTTTGGAATATTTGTCCCTCTTCCTTCCAGTTATTCTTTTTTTTTTTTTTTTTTTGGTACTGGGGATTGAACCCAGGGGTGCTTAACCACTGAGCAACATCCCCAGCCCTTTTTTTATATCTTATTTGGAGATAGGTTCTCACTAAGTTGCTTAGGAACTTGCTGAGACTGATTTTGAACTCTTGATCCTCCTGCCTCAGTCTCCCTACCTGCTGGGATTGCAGGCATGTGCCACCACGCCCAGCACCTCTTCTTAACAAACTCCTACTCTTCTGTCAAAACCCAACCCTAACACATCATTCCCTGGAAAGTGCTTTTCCAAATTCTCCCTCTCCACTACATCACTTGTGAACCTTGTGTGGCTCATCTAGTGACAGGGTCCTAGGCTTGGGGCTACCCAAGAGGTGCAGAATGGGGAGATAGGGTCTGTGAAGAGAGATAAGAGTAGATATCTCTGCTAGAAATGCTGCTCACAGGCATGTAAGCCAGACGCAAAGCTATGCTTTCAACTCTAGCCTCCTCCCTCAAGCTTGTTTTCTAATTCCTTAGCAACTCTGTGGAGGAAACAGCTACCAGGCACGCCTTTTATTTGCACAGAAACGACCAAGGTCACAAATCCAGGCTGAGGCAGTGCAAGGTGGGGCCATCTGAGGAGGACGTGTAGAGGGCTGGGATGTAGAGCTGGAACAGATTCAAATATCCAACCAAAGGCAACCACATCTAGGCCACTGGAGAGGGCCTTCCTTGCCATAGGTGGGAACCAGAAGCAGGGTCTGCAGCAGGCACATGGCAGGAGGCTGCATGGTTTTGCCTTCTACTTCACTGCGGCCAGCCTTCGAAAGTTCCTCCTGCTAGCTGATCCAAGTCTGCATGCTGTACTTCTGTCCCAACTCTGGATCAGTCTTCATGGGTTCTTGGGGACTTAAGTCGCTCCTCCTGTCTCCCTTGATCTCCCCCCGCCCCAAGGTTCTGGGGAAATCACTGGTCCAGAGAGGTCCAGTGGCTCCTCTGAGGCCACGTGGCAAGTCTTCTGATGGAAGGCAGCTGGAGAGCTGGGGGCCGAGTTAGAGCAGGGTGATTTCACTGGGGGGCAGTGTGAGTCGCTTCTCTCGGGCACTGAGCAGGTTCTCCACGTGCACGGCTACCACTCGACACAGCTCCAGACCCTGCAGGGGACACAGCGAGAGTCCTGCGTCCACTAACCCTTTCCCAGCTTGGTGTGGGACATGCATAACAGATGTGGTTTGGAAAGAGGTGGAGACCACCATCTGCAATAGGGACCCTCATCCCCACCTCCCCGGGTGCTTGGAAGTGGCTGGAAGATGGAGTGAAGGGCTGTGGGTTATAAGAGCCGAGCAAGTAGGGGAAAAGATACGTCTGGTGATGCTGCTGTGTGTGATCTGCATGACCAGGGATGCTTGCTTCACCTCTCTGAGCCTCTCAGAGCCTCACCTATAATAAGGTCTCTGTTCTTTTTGGGGGGCAATACTTAGAATTAAACTCAGGGGGACTTTACCACTGAGTTACATCCCCAAACCCCTTTCTATTTCTTTTCTTTTTTTTTTCTTTTTTTTTTTTTTTTTTTTTTTTTTTTTTTTTTTTTTTTTTTTTTTTTTTTTTTTTTGGTTACTGGGGATTGAATCCAGGGGCACTTAACCACCGAGCCACATCCCCAGCCCTTTTTAATATTTTACTTAGAGACAGGGTCTTGCTGAGATGCTCAGGGCCGCGCTAAGTTGCTGAGGCTGTCTTTGAATTTTCCATCCGTCTGCCTTAGCCTCCTGTGTTGTTGGGATTACAGACGTGCACCACCACACCTGGTGAAGGTCTCATATACCAGGGCCTTCCTCACAAGCAGTGGTTAGGGAATCAAATCAATGAAATTTTATTTCACATAAATCCTTTACATTTAAAAAAATATTGGTCCAAGGGGCTGAGGGGTAGCTCAGTGTTACAGCGCTTGCCTAGCATGTACCAGATCTCAGGTTCCATTCCTAGTACCACACCCTTCTGGTCAATAAATGGGAACAGTTTCTAATAATGGGTTGCCATGGTTACCCCTGGCACCCCAGCCTAGAACAAACGATGACCTAGACTCAGGTCTCCCAAGTGGAACAGGGCAGGAGATGGCACGAGGGAATTGTGGAAAATTGACCTGGGAGTGAGGTGCACAGACCAAAGCCAATATGAAAAGCCCACCCCACCCTGCCCTAGGATTCCTAGAGTGATAGGAGCTGAGAGTGATAAAATAATAGCAGCACTTACTAAGTGTAGACTGTGCCAGGCCTTGTCTAGAGAGCTTTCTATTTAATCCCTGAAGTATCCACCTCCCTTGCTTTTTTTTTTTTTTTTTTTGCATTACAGGGTCTCCTGCATCCTAGACAGGCAAGCACTCTACAACGGAGCTATATCCCCAGCCCTTTCTATTTTTTATTTTGAGACAGGATCTTGCTAAGTTGCAGAGGCTTGCCTCAACCTTGCAACCTTCCTGCCTTAGCCCCCTGAATTTCTGGGATTACAGGAGCTTGCCACCATACTGGGCTCCTGCAGTGTCCCTAAGGGGCAGTATTTAGAATTAAACCCAGGGACACTTTACCACAGAGCTACATGCTCAACCCCCTTTTTATTTATTTCTTTGTTGTTTTTTTTTGTTTGTTTTCTTTTGTTTTTTGGTTACTGGGGATTGAACTCAGGGGCGCTTAACCACTGAGTCACATCCCCAGCCCTTTTAAACATTTTATTTAGAAACAGGGTCTCTCTGAGATGCTCAGGGCCATGTGTTCAAGTGCAGGCCTAAAGCTGTGGAATTGCTCATTCCCAGACTTCATAGTTGGTATGTGATAAGATTTAAACTTGGATGGTAAGAGGCCCAAAGTCACCCTGAAGTGCTCTCTGCCAAGGCTATCTGTGATCACCGCACCCTGGAGGCCACCCCAGCTAATGAAATGAGTGTGTGCAAGATGGGAGTCCTCCCCTGTAGTCAGTCTTTTGCCTGCCCACATGCTGCTGTGTTCTAGGCTTTGCTGGAACTGTAGCCCAGCTGGACAGGTATGGAAACTGGGGTTCAAAGATAAACAGGACTGTCTTGAGATGCCCTCATGCTGCTTGTCAAAGGTAGGTGGGATGGGGACCAGGTCTGTTGGCTGCACACAGAAATCACCTACTCCTTGGAGCCTTTACCTCCTGTGTAGTTTGGGTCCTCTGCACATGCTCCTAGTACTGCTTATGACCTCCGGAGAGATTCCTTCATATCTGAGATTCCAGGGTCTGTGAGGGCTACTACAGGGGTCTCAGTCACATCAGTATTCTCAGGGCTCATATAGAAACTGCTATACAGAGATGCTCAATGATTATGTGTTGAATGAATGAATGAATGAACCCCCCACATGTACAGGAGGGAGGCAGAAGTAGCAGCTTCCTTGCAGGGAGGGCTACAAGGAAATGGAGAAGCCAAAAAGGTCTTCAGCCAGCCAGCCAACCAGCCAACAAACATGCATTGAGCATCTACTATACGTTAGACACTGTGCTGTGGACACAGTGTGAAGGAGACAGCCTTAGCTCTGTCCCCCTAGAGCTTGTATCTTGGAGAGCGAGATAGACAATAAGTAAACAAATACCTAACTGATCTGTAAGCCATCATGAGGGCTAATGAAGTAGAGGTGGTAATTCATCACAGAGGGTCAGGGAAATCTTCTAAGAAGAGGGGCTCTTTGTGCTGAAACCTGAGCAAAGGGAAGGAAGGAGCCCTAGGACAAATAAGGAAATAGCATTCTTGGTAGAGGGAACAGTGAGTGCAAAGGGCCTGGGGCAGAGAGTGGGAAGGAAACATATACAGGTGGTCTGGGGAGGAGATGGTAGAAAAGGAGCCAAAGAAAAGGTGCTGGGGCAGGAACGAGGAGACAGAAGGACACAACAGCATAGAGGGCAGGTTCTGGGAAGCAATGCAGGCCCAGAGGCCAAGGCTGTCAGAGGGAGGCTCAGAGTGACCCTGGGAACAGATAGAGCATGGGAGGGGGACGGGGAGCCTGGTCCTGAGTCACAGATCTCCAAGGGGGTTTTGTGCTGTTCCTGTTCCTCAGAGGCAGGGCTGGTACAGTGGAAGCCCCTCTCTCGTTCCTGGGAAATCAGCCCCTTCAAGATAGGCCTGTCGTAGAGGTTGACATTGGACCAAGATCTCCACGGGGGATGTGGCAGGCTCCATCTCCAGCTCTGCCCCTTCTCTGAGCCTCCATCCTGTCTCTCTGGTAGAGTGGAAACTCTGGTCGTGCCCTGAGGGCTGTGGAACTTGGACAGGAGCCTAGAAGTCACCCATGCCTTTTTAAGAAGCAGCCACAGTTGAGAAGGCCCAGGGCAGACAGGCCTCCATTTCCCTATCACAGGGGAGCCCCCTTTCTCCAACCACCATCCTGGGTCCCGTGATTCAGCTTCCATGCCTCGGCCTGGGTCAGCTTCCTCAAACCTCCCATGACCCTGACCATTCACCAAACTCCTATGGCTCCCTCGTACCCTCAGAAACAAGACCCTGATTTTTTGCTTAATATTTGAAGAACTCCAAGAAGTCCCTTTCCCTGGATCTATCTCCCCAGTGCCCCACCAAACTCTTCACCTTTCTGCAGAAGCCTGAGTCCTATTCCATGATCCCACTACTGAGCTGCTTCCCCGGAAGACCACCAAAATGACCTGCAGTTCTGTTCCCTGAGCTGGGCCGGATGCTACTTTGGCCATGGCCAGGACCTAAACCTGTCCTGGAGAGAAGAACCTGGTGAGTGGAACACAAGAGTGAGAGCCTGTGTCACAGAGCCTGGCCAGTGGGGGCTGGACCCACCTGCTCCAGCTGCAGCTGCATGGTACGCTGGGCTGCCACATCCCCCAACGCAATCTCCACATAGGGGTAGCTGGAGTTGGCTGTGGGCCGCTGGGTCCGTGTAGACTGGATCTCCTTCAGGGGGAATTTCACAATCAGCTCCTGGGAGTGCAGGAGGAAGACAGGAACAGTTTCAATCACTGTTATCACCTCCCCTGCAAATCAGATCAGTGGAACAGAGGAGGCCCCAGTCCAAGTGTTGGATCCCTAGTGATTTCCTGTGCAACCTCAAGCACATCACTATTCTTCTCTGGACCTTGGTTTCCTCACCTGTGAAACTAAATCAATAAATTAGCAAAAGATGCATCTGCTGGCACTGTTCAAAAAATGCTGGGGATATGGGATGTCGTGGATGCTGTTGGTGCCCTGACCTTCACGTCAAAGCTGCTTTCATGAACATCTGTATCCTTTTGTTCTGGGGCTTGATTTCTGGCCCAAGAAACAAAGGGAACAAAATTCAGGGAAAGGTACAGTGATGGAGACTTAATGCAGCAGGAGGAAGCCCTGGACTAATGATTGACAGGGAGTGGTAAGTAACAAGGGCTCCCCCGAGCTGGACCGACTTCCAGTTACCCTCCGGTTACCCACATTGGCAATTCGTGTGGTAACAGGGCCTTTATTGTCTCCACCCCTTCCCTGCCCTAATTCCACCCTCCAGTGTTCCTAGAATCTCCTCCAAATAAGCCACCTGCCTTGGAATCCTCATCTCACACTCTATTTCTAGGAGCAAGCCTAAGAAAGGGGCTCTCAGGGTCTATTTGTGATGGGCTTCACTGTGACCTCTGCAAATACCCTGTGAAGCCCAAATACCTTGAATGTGACTCTGTTTAGGGAAAGGGACTTTAAAATGGTGATTAAGGGTCTGGGGAGGTACTTCAGTGGCAGTGTTTTTGTCTGGTGTGTGCAACCCTGTGTCTCCTTTCCCGTGTTCTCCCAAAAAAAAAAAAACATGAAGTTGTTGTTATGGTTGGATCTGGAATGTCCCCCAAAGGCTCTTGTATCAAAGGTTTGGTTCCCAATACAGCAAAGATCAAAGGTGGCGCTTTTGGTAAATTGGATCAAGAAGGCTCTGACCTCATCAGCAGATTAATCCATTGACAGCTGAATGGACTACCAGGAGGTGGTGGAAACTGCAGGAGGTGGGAATGCGTGGAAAGGAATGGATCCCTAAGGATGTGGCCTTGGGGACTACATCTCTTCCCCAGTCCTTGCTCTCATTCTGCTTCCTGACTGCCACACTTTCCTCTGCCATGCTCTTCCATTATGATGTCCTCCTCATCAGGACCAAAGTAATGGAGCCAACTGACCATGGACTGAGAACTCTGAAACTATAAGCCAAAATAAATATTTCTTTTTTTAAGTTGTTTTTTTTTCCAGATATTTTGTTACAGCAATGAAAAACTGACTAACCAGAGGTGAGAAAGTTAAAATAAGGCTATTAGGGTGAGTCCCAACCCATTATTGTTTTTTTTCTTCTTTTTTTTTGGTACCAGGAGTTCAACTCAGGGGCACTCAACCACCGAGCCACATCTCCAGCCATAGTTTGTATTTTAATTAAAGACAGGGTCTCACTGAATTACTTAGTACCTCATCATTGCTGAGGCTGGCTTTGAACTCATGATCCTCCTGCCTCAGCCTCCTGAGCCACTTGGATTACAGGCGTGCAACACCATGAATGGTCTCCTTATAAGAAGAGGAAATCTGAGGGCTGGGGATGTGGCTCAGTGGTAGAGCAAGTTTGCACAAGGCCCTGGGTCTGATCCCTAGCACCACAAAATAACAACAAAAGAATAAATCTGATCCCAGTTCTCTGGAGGCTGAGGCAGAAAGATCACAAGTTCAAGGCCTGCCTTCACAATTTAGTGAGATCTGGTCACAAAACAAAACAGAAAGGATTACTCAGTAGTAAAGTGTTAAAAAAAAAAAGCGGGAAGAGAGAAACTCTAGATACAGAGACACTGGGAATGTGCACACACTGAGGAAAGGCCATGTGGATACACAGCCATCTGTAGGACAAGGAAGAGACTAGACTGGCAGACACCTTGATCTTAGATACACTTGATTTCAGCCTCTGCACATGGCAGAGCGACCCCCTCAGCCTGTGGTGTGTTGTTAAGGCAGCCTGAGCAAGCCTTAGAGTGTGTCACCTCACCCCCCTTCACCTCCACTCTCTGGAGTGGATTCTGCTATTACTCCCATTTTCCAGATGGGAAGCAGGGCTCTGAGAGGAGGAGAGGATGGCTGGAGGTCATGCAGACGGGAAATGGTGGAGCTGGGCTCCCACAGCTGGCAATCTTGGCTCCCGGGGTGGATGGGGGACCGGAGGACAGAGGCGGTGGGAGAAGATGGGCAGAGCCAGGCAGAGGCCACTTACATGGGTCTCGATACTGAGGAAGTTCAGGCCATTATGGTTGACGGCAAGGATGCAGGGGGCTGGCACAGAAACATTGCTGCAGCTCTGGATGAAGAAGAAGGAGGAGCCAAACATAGGAAAGGCACTGAGCAGGCCTGCAGTGGGGGAGAGCGGGTGTTACCATGTGAGGCCAGGCCCATCCATGACAGCCCTGCCCCTGAACTGCATGGCTGGCCTGAAGAACATCCTTACTTCCTTCTGTCACCTCTCTGGCCTCTTCCTCTATCCCTTCTTCCTCACTTCCCACTCTCAGTTTGCCCAAGGTCACCCACAGTCCCACTCCAATGATGTCTTTGAGAAAAAAAAAGGTCTCCTTTTGCCAGATGCGGTGGCACATGCCTGTAATCCCAGCTACTTTGGAGGCTGAAGCATGAAGATCACAACTTTGAGGCCAGCCTCAGCAATTTAGCAAATGAGACCCTGTCTCAAAATAAAAAAATAAAAAGGGCTAGGGATTGTGGTTCAGTAACCCTGGGTTCAATCCCTAGTACCAAAGGGGAGAAAAAAAAAGTCTCTCCCAACTGCTTGCGAGGCTGAGGCAGGAGGATCACCAGTTCAAAAAAAAAAAAGTCTCCTCTCCCAATAGGTAGGTAGCTCACCTGCCACTGAAAAGCCTTTGTGCAAAAGGAAAAACTATGTCTCCCCCTCCTCCCGAATCCCCCCTTAGTAAAGCCCCTCATGACAATACCCCCCAGTTCTGTATCCCCAGCTCTTACCCAAGAACTGGGCACGGGCCTGGTGGGGGCTGAGTGCCTGTGTCTGTGGCCGGTGCTGGCTGACCAGGTTGAGCCAGGCAGAGCCAGCTGTGGTGTGGTACAGCTGAGCCGGGATGTACTCTTGGACCTCCCGCCTGCGTGTGGAGGGGACAACTGCCCTGAGCACCTGCCACTTAATCTCCATTGCGCGGCAGGTGTGATGCAAAGTGGACATGAGTGTTATGTGTCCCTGGGATACTAAACGCTGGGGAGAGTAGAAGGGGAAGATAGGAGTGCAAGGACTCCCGTGGTGCCTTGGTACATGGCAGGTGGGTGGCCCCGCCAGGGCTGGTACCACCAAGATCCCTGCTTGCAGAAGAGGAAACTGAGGCTCTTAGAAGTCCACAGAGCAGTCCAAGGCCACACAGCAACCGTGAACTAGTATGTGTGGTGGGGAGACTTGAACCCACGGCAGGTTCATCCTTTGTAGCTCCCGTCCCCAAAGAGGAGTCCAAGCCAGAGAGGTTTGGGGAGACACAGGGGTGGGGGAGATATAAGAAAGGGCAAAGCAACCACCAAGGGGCTGGTCAGAGCAGGAGGCAGAGGAATGCTGGGCCTCTAGGCTGAGTCTCCAAGGACTATCAGGCCTGTCCACCCTACTTCTTTCTTCAGTCCTCTTCTGTGTGTCACATGATGGTTCCCTCAAGGCAGGCTCTTTGCCTCTTGGCACATGTGAAAATATCAACATCAGCCCCAGTCCATCCCAGCTGCCCTGGGCTGCAGACAGGGCAAGATTGGGAGAAAGTCAGGGGAGCCCTCTCTCCTTGGGAGCTCCCACCCCTGGGAACTCCCACTACTTGGTAACATCTGGCCTTCTTTGCACTGCTGTGATAAGAACCTCGCATCTGGACCTAGCATCCCCAGATTTAACCATTCCTGGTTCCTTCACCTACTAGCTGGCTAAGCCTCAGTAAGCCACATAGTCTCTCCGGGCCTCAGCAAGCCACATAGTCTCTCCGGGCCTCAGCTTTCTCATCTGTGATCACAGCAACTCAGGAGACTAAGGCAGGAGGGTCACAAGTTTGACACCAACCTTGGTGACTTAGCGAGATCCTCAGACTGTCTCAATATAAAAAGTAAAAAGGTCTAGGAATGTAGCTCAGTGGTAGAGTACCCCTGGGTTCAATCCCAAAAAGAAAAAAAGAAAAGAAAAGCTCAGTGGTAGAGTACCCCTGGGTTCAATCCCCCCCCCAAAAAAAAGGAGGAAAGGAAAAGGGAAGGATTGTTTGGAAAGGAGGTTAGGCCATTCCTTTTGCGGGGATTTTTTTTTTATCACTAAATTAGCTCTGAGTTATTAATGTCAGCTGTTCCAGCATCGATGGTGAGCCAGAGAACTTTGGCCCCAGGGCCAGGACAGCCCCTTCTCAGATAGCCTTACTGTACAAGAGAGGATCCTGGGTGCCCGAGATGGGCAACTCTGAGGAAGGTGGGGTGCCCTGAGGGTGCCAGGGTGCCTGTCTGCTCTGGCTGATAGACAGGCAGGTGCTTACACACTGGGCAGGTAGAAGTGGTCCTTGGCACGGTGTTGCAGTGAAGCTAGTTTGGACACCTGCTGCAGCTGTTGCTCCATGGGCCGGCTGGCTGGCACGCTGCTGAAGAGGCCCTTCAGGTAGTCAGGAAGGACCTGTGGGGAGCAGATGCATGAGGGGCTGCCAGGCAGGTGCACACCCAGGTGTTCACCTACAAGGAGTCTGGAGACAGGCAGTTATCATTCCAGCCTTATCCACCACTGGTTTTTGATGAATGATGACAGAGGCATTTGAGGGGGAGCTCTGAGAATGGTGTCCTTGGAGCTTATGAGGGAGTCCCCACAATGAGGTAAGAAGAGTGTGGGCTAGTAAAGGCAGAGTATCCACAATGTGATGCACACACATGTCCGTCAGATCCATGCTTCTCAAAACTGAGCATGCTCCAGAGTCTCTGGGAAGCTTGCAAAAACACAAGGCAGGGCTGAACCCCTGAGATTCTAGTCAGATAGATCTGCATCAGAGATCCTATTTCCATTCCACTACTCAAGATGGGAAGGAAGCTGGAGTACCAGACTGTGCAGGGCAGGGCTTCAACAGCGACACCATGTGGCCACAAACGCTAAGTGTTTGTATTTTGTACATGGGATTGCATTAGCATTGACACCAGTT